TCGTTGTTAACCCTGTGACATCTACAGGTCAGCATAATGGGGGAGTCTAGTCTAGTCTTTAAATATCCTATCTATTATCGTTCAGAAAATATGGTTGGGTGGGTCACCTGTCGGCTGGCCTTTAAAGGCCCTAGTTTGATCTGTCAAAGATCTGCTGTGGCTGGATATGAGAATTGATGGCCAGAAAGCCTCTCTAAGAGGCACTGGATGGAAAAGTCGTTTTGTGCCTGTTCATAAAAAGAAGCAGTTGATGGTGGTCTGGGCAGGGTAAGATGCGTGTAAAATGTAAGTGCTGGGAGGAGTATAGTTCACGTGGAGGATATTGGAAAGAGTAAAAAAAAGTCATTTCTATCACCCTAAGACTGTGGTTCCCACCTGCTGCTGCTCTCCCTAGAGATGGATTTAACCTTAACATCCAGCCAAGTCTTCAACAGTCTTGTTGGAAGTTCCGGTTCTCCTTCTCCATCTCCCCCTGCTCTCTCTCCTTCCCCTCCTCCCTCTCTCCCTTCCTTTTCCTGCCTCCCCTCTTCTCTCTCCATAAAGGGAATAAACGAACGATAGTAACATTGTGGGTAGTTGACTGTTATAGCCTCTAGATATCCATTTCCAGAGGAGATGAATGAGACCACAATTTGTAAGGCTTGGGCCTTTCTATCCCCAAGAAATTCTCCAGGATGTAATTTGTTTTTGCATTTAGATATGGGAGTGGCACAAAATTACTTTCACTATCAAGCGTTCCTTTTTGTGAAATATTGCCGACAGTTCTAGTCTTGGGAACCACTGATACACAGATGTTCACTGTCATCCTCCCCTTACTGCCCCCAAGGGAAACTTGAACTTTTATTTCCTAATTCAGCCCATGTGGGGAGACTGACTTCCAGAGGAACCTTAGCGTGCTGGAGAATGTACTCGTGACTACTGGTTTGACTGTAGTGTGTTTGACTCACCATCTTTTATTTTTTCAGACCGGGAAAACAATGTATATACATTAAAGAAGTGTATAGCAGAAGAAATAAAATATGCTTAATTCTCCTGGACTTACAGTCTTATTGACTAGTTTCCTGCGCATTCTAGTGGGGTTGTCTGCTTAGCTCTCCCTGTTTCTCGAGCACAACTGAATCTCCCACCTCAACCCCCTATCAGCAGGTTGTATCAAAAGTCCAGAAAGGCCAAATTTAAAGTATCTTTTCGTTTAAGTAGATGTTTCTAGAAGTAGCCACATGTACCGGAATAATCCCCTAATTGAATGCCCTGCTTTTGAAATGGCTCAGTTTTGTAGCACATGGAGACATTTTGTGCTCCTGTTGTGACAGCTGTGCGCCCCAACGCTCGGAATGCAGTCCCTCACCTTTGTAGCTGTCATTGAGGATGCTAACACCCAGTGTTTACATATAACATTTTTGTTCAAGAAGATGGTAACACGTAGGCACACCAAAAATGATGATTCTGATTCTTTATGGGAGTGTGTGATCATTTCATACAACAACAAATCTCAAAGCACAAATCTTGTTGCTTAGTGGCGTCCACCCCCATTTCATTTAGCCTCCTCTCTTGAAATTACAGTGTGCCTTACAGTTAAATGACAGTGTGACCTTTTACCCAGTTTTACCTATACCTTAAATTGGTGTGCCTTTTTGGCGTAGAGCGCACTTACTGCTTCCTCTTCAGACTTTTGCTAATTATTCTAATTGCTAATTAGAATAATAATAAATATCTTGTCCTCAGGTTATTTTGTCAAGATGATGGCTTTATCTGGGATATAATTAACTTCTTTAACTTTGGTTTGGCTGTTTTACCTCCATGTTTCTCAAAGTCCTGAAGATTATAGACCACCAAAAAAATTAACCTAACCAAAAAATTATTGAGCTAAAAGTGTCTTATCAAATTGTATACTCTAGAGCGGTGATTCCCAAAATAAGACTAGGGAAGTTGACCTACTCTCTTGAAGGGATACAGTCTCCATATATCCAAAGCTAAACTTAATCTTTTTTCTCAAACCCCCAATCCGCAGTCTTCTATTTTTGGTAAAATGGAACTGCTACCTTCTCAGCCTTCTGACTCTCCCCTCCTTCTTTTCTCCTACACCTAATTACTTGCCAAATCCTTCCAAATCCATTAGCGCTTAGTGCTTCTGGGGTCACCATTCTCCCCATTCCCACTTGCCACTGCCCTGGTCCAGGCCCATATAAGTTGGTTTCTCTCTAGTCTCTTCCCCCTCCATCCTATTCTGCACACTGCTCACGCTCCTTGTAGATTTCTTTCTGAAGCATTACCCCAGTCTTCTCGACTTCCCTGCTGGGGACTTTAATGGCTCCAGGCTGATGGTTCCCACACATTGGCGTGCACCAGAATCCCCTGAAAGTCCTGCTAAAACAGTCTGCTGGATCACACCCCCCCAGTTTCTGATCCAGTAGGTCTGCTGTAGGGCTAGCTCATTTGCTTTCCTTACAAGGGCCAGGTGTTCCCTTGACCATCCTTTGGGGACCTTTGCTCTAGGGTGAACCCGTCCTCCTTGGATTCCAGGCCTGTTCCTGTCTGTTCATTCTGACTTCTGCCGTGCTCTGCTGCTCAGCCAGTGCTCCTTGGAGGCCCTCTGGTCATGTAAGGATAAGACTTGGGCTCCTTCAGAACAAGCTCTGTGCATTGATCACCTGATTCTCATCTGCCCCTCGACAGCTGTGGGCACTGCTCATCAGAATGCATGGAGAGGGCGGTATTGCTTTTGCAGAGATACAGCTGAGTAACACCATGAATGAGTGAGTGTTATGATGAGAGGCGTAGAAGGCACATCCTAAGCAGAGGGTCATGAGGACCTCCCTGTGGGCTGCCAGGCTGCTGGCGCCTCTAGGCCATGTGTTGACAGGCAGAATGGGTTGGACCAGTGGCCAGGAGGTGGTTATTTATGGCAGTCGGCTCCTCTTCACCACATACACTTCTTTTTTAGTTTCTTTCTCCTTCCCATTTTCTGTCATTCAGTCCCCCTCCCCTTTCTCTTCCTACCTTACGCATGATGCCCTGGGTCTTTTTGGTGACTTGTGGGTTGAAGACGCTTCTGAATCTTGCTATAAAGCCACAAAGTTGCTTCTGAATTTTAATCTGAATATTTACTGGAGAAAAGTTATAGGCTAAGAAGGACTGATATTGTAGTTAGGCTTGTTATAGGGTATCTGAGTAATATTCTGCACGTTCATATTTTACAGGAAAGTTCTTGTTTAACTAAAAATAACTCTGGACGTGGACACATGGTATCCCGTTGTACAGAGAAGAAAACAGACTCTGAGATTAAAATAATAATGCCTGATTCTAAAGTGAAGAGATTTTTTCCATCTTTATGCACACGAAGAATAACTTATTTGTTTTATAAAGCATGTTGTAGTTAATAATTATGTTTAGAATCACGGCTACAGTATTAGAAAGTTTCTGCCGAGATAGAGAAGACTGTGTGATGAATAGAATATGTGATTGGGTGATATTTACTCCAGAAAACTCAGTGGTTTTAGGTCAGGAGTTAAACACACATATGTAGCAGAGAGTAGATATTGAAAGAATGTATATAAATGTATAAGCATAGAAAAAAGTCTGGAAGGAACTCACCAAACTGATAATAGGGGCTAGTCATTTTTTGCCTTGATACACTTCTGTGCTATTAAATTTTTTTAAGGTATATAAATGATAACTTGGGGTGGTGGGAGATGAAAGAGAGTATGTGGGAGGAGGAATGAAGGATTCTAATTAAAAAAATATATAAGAAGAAGAAAAAGAATCCATCACAACATATCTGCAGTCGTTCCCCTGTAGAGAGTTCCCACACCCTTTCCTCCCTTGGAACACGTCCCGTCTCCCCATCAGCTCCGCCTGCCCAGACTGCCTGCTCTTTGAGACCTAGCCCTTTGCCCCCTTCTTCATGAAGCCTTTCCTATCTTCTTTCTTCAGACCTCAAGCCGGAAACAATCTCTCCCACTTCTGAACGGTCCTTTCTTGTGGGACCAGAAGTCCTTATATCATAGTCTCATTTCCCCAAGAAAGTGTTTCCTGACTGTTGCAAATTGAAGGCCCCTCTCTGAAATTAAAAAAAAAAAAAAAAAAAGAGTGGCTCTGACATCATAGTAGTGGAGCTTTGATTTGTCAGTCTCCAAAGAGAGCTTGGGGCTCCTGGGGATGTCTGGCCCCCTTGCAGCATCTCTGTGGCCCCAAGAGCTCAGCAGCTCACATGTTGAGAGCCACAAACTGCCCCTTAAGATGACCACTGCTGCCAGTTAGGAGTTCTTGTGCGTGGCACGTGTACTTACGAAGCCAACAAATGAAGACAGCTTAGAGAAGGGGGCCCAGTGACATCAAGGCTGCATTCCTGTCAGTGTGACAGATCACACCTGTGTAGACTGTCTCTGCACACCTGTACATTTTTTGGCTGATGATTGTAACTATGCGAAACTGAAGTTCCTAACAGATTATCAGTGTTAATGATGTTAATCCTAACAGATTAGCACTGCACTTGGTGAAGAGATAAAACAGTGGAAATAACCTTAAAAGAATATAGATAACACTATGGAAGTAGAACTGAATGGTGTGTCATTTCCACAAGAGCTGACTCAACATCGGCCGTCTGCGCCGTGGATGGCAGTGGTGTGAGCGCTGTCACACCGTGTGTGGTGGTGGCAGCTTTCCAGTTCTCCTCCTACTCTCCTCGGCCTTGTCTGGCAGGACCAGTGCCTGTAGATCTGTGAACCTCTTTTCTCTTTTCCTCCGCTGTTTCCTTCTCCCAGGGACCCTTTGACAGACATTCAGTCCAAGCCTTGCTTCCCGGAAGCCTGCAGTTGTCTCCAGGGGAATGATTGACGTTCACACACCAGCACATCCTGCGCCTCAGTTCCTTCGAGCAGTACTCTTAGAGCAGCTGCTCCACAGGGCCGCTGGAGGGGATTGTGGGCATGCACGTCAAGCTTTTTGTTTGTAACGCTTTCTCCTAACGTGCTTGTCTGTCTGTCTGTCTTTTTGCATAGGGTAGTGATGGTGCTCGGAGATCCACGCTACTTGATAGTGACGAGCCCTTGGTCTATTTCTACGATGATGTCACAACGTTATACGAAGGTTTCCAGAGGGGTATACAGGTGTCAAGTAAGCATTTTACTGAATTCGTGTGACTAGTGCTTAGTGATTTTCATTCAGAAAGAGTGATCATTCTTCAGAAAGGCATGTTTGCTCATGTCTTTTGCCTATTTCCTATTGTTCAAGTCTCCCAGTCTCCTCCCATAACTTCTCCAGAGTGAGTCCCAAAGCACAGTAGCCTTCTAGATGTTCCCCGTGGCAAAGGGGGTTCCATGGTCACATACGTTTTCAGTATGTCCTGTAGTTTATGGAGTCACACGTCCATTAGATCATTATGGGCTCTGACTTTTCCTGCAGTCAAGAGACCTGTTTAATTGGGCTCGATCCAACATTTTTCAAATTTACTTGACCAGGAGACCCGTATTTTGAGAAATAAACACTGATATCCCAAGGAAGCAGTGTTCCATCAGACACACTTGGGAATCTTGGCTCCTGGGACTACCCTTAATTACTAACGATGGCATAGGAGACCCAGGACACCTGGCTCCAGCCTTCCTTTCCAGCCTCTCTCCCTCCCAGTTTCCGTGTGTGCTCCCCTAAGGTCATACTGAACTTCCTGCAAAGCCATGACCCCTCTCCTCTCTCATAACCCCATGCCTTTGTGCACTTTTTTCCCCCTGATCATAAAGCTTCCTCTGGGCTGCCCTGGTGGTGTAGTGGTTAAGTTTGTGTGCTCCACTTCCGGGCCGGGGGTTTGCAGGTTTGGATCCCGGGTGCAGACGTATGCACTGCTCATCAAGCCATGCTGTGGCAGCATCCCATATACAAAAAGTAGAGGAAGATTGGCACAGATGTTAGCTCAGGGCTAATCTTGCTCACCAAAAAAAAAAAAAAACAAAAACCCAAAAAAGACAATTGGGGAGGAGGAGTTAAAACAGTCCGATGTTCAATACCTCTCTTTCCCCCATTTGAAAAAAAATAATAAAATATAAAATAAAATAAAGCCTCTTCTTTCCTACCCCCAGCCCAGGGTGCTTGATATATTCTTACTAATCTTGTAGAACTCATATTGCCTTTCACCTTTTCTAGAAAAGCTTCCTGGTGTATTGTTTTCATCCCCTGCCTCTACGTGAGGCATTTCCTCCTTTCCCAGCATCTTATCTCCGTTTCTGTAACAGCCCCTTCAGGGGGCAGAGGCGTTTACCTGCTGTTCTCCCACTGGCCGGTGCTCCTTGGGTAGAGCAGCCATCTCTTCTCTCAGCCCTGACACAGGGCCTGGCACACAGTGGTGCTCATTAATGTACCCTCAGTGAAGGAGAGAGTCTCCTCTACTGCTTCTCACCCCCTTTTTGTTTTAGCCTCTTCATTTTTGCTTGTTCCAGGTTCCTCTCTAGAAATGGTCTTAGGGGTCCATGCTTTGTTATTTAGATCTTTTAGTGGTTAGCTTTTATTTTTGCCACCACTAGCTAGATTTTTATCTCCTTACAGGGAGGAACTGTGTGCTGTTACCCACTCTGTCTCCCACGATATATTCCATGTAATCTGTGCTCAAGAAGTGCCCATCGTTTTCACTTGATACTAGTAAAACTGGATTGCTCGGCTCGGTGTGTTTGCCCCGGTATTCCTGTAGTGGATTCATTAAGCCCCACTGTAAAGAGGAAGCAAACTTACTTATGTATTATTTAATTTATGAACTTCCTCGGAGTTAGTGTTAGGGTCAGGATTTGTCTGTGATAACGAATGTCCATAAGGTAGAGCAGCCTAACATAAGGCCACAAGAAAGTATTTTTATATATATTCTTTACCACTCCCACAAAGCATGTATATGTATAAATGTGTATACATTTTTCCCATTGTTAGCAGAGGATGGGATTCATCTAGGATTATGGTGTCTTACATTATACTTCTTATTCTCCCCTGATCTTAAGACAAGTCGTGTAACTTTTTTTTTTGGCCACTTTGTCTGCTTGGAAAATGAAGGCCTTAAATGAATGTTTCGGAGAAGTTGGAGAAAAATAAGTTCAGCCTTCTTAACCGCTAGTGATTGAAGGGAGCTGCTCTGTGGGTTACTTTTTCTTCTTTTTTTCTCCTAGAGGAGCTTTTTATTCTAAGCTTTAATTTTCCTAGGCTCCCATAAGATTAGACTTTTACAGGAGAGCAAAAACCAGCATCTAGATAAGGTAGGTAGGAGTTTGTTGAATGACAGGAGAAGCCAGCCTAGAGTTTTGAAACCTAGTATTTTAGAACTGTACCTAGGAGGCCATTTATGAAGATTGAGTTCTCTGTCAGTGGTTCGCATCCCTGCCCACACTTTAGTGTCACCTGGAGAGCTTTTAAAAAATACTAAGGCCCAGGCCCCATCCCTGTGCAATTACATCAAAAATTTTGTTAGTAGGTCCTGAGTATAGTATATTTTTTCAAGTTCCCCAAGTGAGCCTGGGGTTAACTACACTGTTTAGAGCAGGAACCTGAGAACTTTTTCTCTAAAGGGCCAGATAGTAAATATGTTAGGCTTTTTGGGCCATATGGTCTCTGATACAGCTCCTGACTGCAGTCTTAGATAATATGGAAATGAAGGAGGGAGGCTGTGTTCCAATCAAACTGTGTTTACAAAAAGAAGCAACAAGCCTGATTTGGCCCCCGGCTACGTAGATTGCTAATCCCTGTGCTTGAAGAGTAAAATAGCAGCAGTTCAGCGGGTGTATTTTTTTTCCATCTGAAAACAACTTCTGATGGAACTTGTGTTCAGTGTTGATTGCAGTCCCTGTGAGTGGAAGAGGGCCTGGGAATAAGGCCCTTTTGGTGCTCCTCTCTGTTTTCCACAGGACCTCTCTAGAGAGAGCCAGGGAGTCAGTATGAAGGACTGGGTTTGTCCTGCCTGGGTCCTCCCCCTCCTCATGCCTGGTTCTTGAATCCACCTTTGTATTACATTTCTCTTCTCTAGGGTGTAACTCTGTGAAATAGGCCCAGGCTTGTTAGGGCCCCAGGTGGGGCCATGCTCTGCTTTCCTTCTCACTTCCTCCAGATCCCCAAACCAAATCTGAACACACTCAAGCCTAGAATGGTGAAGCCAGATGGCTGGGGTCTCAAAACAGAAATGCAAATGCCCCGTTCAGATGGGAGATGACCAAACATCCAACCTCAGATGTCCCTGCAGAGGGAGCCACGCAGGCCCCGCGTAGCACAGAGCTGGTAGAGAGCCGTGTTTCTAAGTAGGAAATATTCTTGGATGTGGTCAGCTCTGGTCGTCTAAACATGGCAGCTTTTTTTTTTAGGTGGACATAGCTTTTCCCTTCAACAGCTATTAACGGAGCATAAAGTTAGTTTGGGATTAATCCGTAGAAAGAAACTTGTACGATTCCACATATAAATGATTTGGAGCTGTAGTTATTCCTGTGCTAGCCCTTAACGTGAATAATGAATTTGGGTTCTCTTTCCTTCTGCTTATTCAGTACCTAAATCGGAATCAGGACACATTCTGATATTTTGTAACTTGTGCTTTCACAAATGCCCCCTTACTTTCCATCATTTTGCATCTTATCTTCCTTTTTGTTTCTCTGCAGTTGAGACTTCATCCATGTAGGATGGGTGAAATGGGTGAAGGGGATTAAGAAGTACAAACTCCCAGTTGTAAAATAAATAAGTCATGCAGATGTAGTGGACAGCATAGGGAATTTAGTCAATAATGTAATAACTTTGTATGGTGACAGATGGTTACTAGGCTTGTTGTGGTGATTATTTCGTAATGTATATAAATGTCAAATCACTGTGTTGTACGCTTGAAACTGATATGACATTGTATGTCAAATGTACTTCAATTAAAAAAAATTAGACTTCACCCGTGTAATCAAGTCCAGGTGATTCTTGTTACCTTTGGTCATCAGAATTTGAGCACTTAAAAATTATATTTTCCTTTTCACATTCTGAGTTAGAATGCTTTAAGCTTCTTTAGAAATTTTGGTATAACTTGTCTTCTGAAAACCTACACCAGGATCTCTTTATGACTCAGCCTTTGACTTCTTTCTAAGCCAATAGGATATTGAAGAAGACTTCACAAATTGAATATCCTTAAAGATTGTATTTTCTTTATCTCCTCTCATTTTCCTCCTCTCCTGCCCCGTTTAAGAAACAAAATAGAAATAAATAAACAAAAAATCAGACCAAACCCCAGGAAGAAATCATTTCCAATCTGAATTCATTGTTTCTGATCTGAGGACCACTAGAGTCTACCTGATACTTTATAGAATGAGATGGGATACAAATTAGAATATTTATGCATGTTAAGCCCATCCTTTGTTTTTTCATTTTTTTCCTCTTTGTTTTTAGATGATGGCCCTTGTTTAGGCTCTCGGAAGCCAGACCAACCCTATGAATGGCTTTCATACAAACAGGTGAGTGTTCTGGCTCTGGGGACTCCTCATGCAAGCTGTAGTGCTTAAATTTGTCAGTTCTTGGAGCCACTGGATGTTAGGGCTGGAAGATTTCTACCAAGTGTATGTGCTGGACCAGCTCAGAGCTTCAGGATAAACATATGGTATCCAAATGGAGAAGTTGTACATAAAGATTTGGGAAAAAGTGGTTAAGTAATTTAACTGGTGGTTCAAAGCACTTTATTTTAGAGCTGATGTGTTGCATTGTGGAGTATAGTGTAATTTTTAAGGTAAAATTCTAGAAATGTGCTTGAAGCAGACGACTCTTCTCCCAGACCCCGTGGGGGGATAGGATTACTTCTCTCTGCCTTCAGAGGTCCTAGAAAAATTGAGAAGCCCCATATAGAGTAACTCTCTCATTTTTACAGATGAGGAAAACACACCCCAGGAAGGGATGGGACTCACCAAAAGTCACAGCTGGTTAGTGGCAGAACCAGGACCAGAAGTGAGGTCCCCGCCATCTGGTGCAGGGCTCTTTAATGCGTCACACTGATGCTGGGACTGGTGTGACAATTAACCCCAGGGCAGCCATAGAGAGCAGCACAGATGTTCAGAGACACCTGTGTTCTGTATAAACACAAGGGAAGCTGGGAGCTGGGTGTTTCTACTCTTGTCACTCAGTAATCCCAACTGGTCCACGGCTACAGCTGTTTAAATAGGAGTTTGTGAATGGCAGGGAGCAGAGCAGGAAAGCATTGCTTTTTATTTTTATCATGATTACAATAAATCTAGGTGCCCCTGCTTTTCCTCAGTCCAAGTAGTACCCAGCGCGTGCAGGAACAGCCGGATCTGGCACAGCTGTCCAGGAAACAGCTCCTGCTCTAAGGGCAGGTCATCCTGGCGATCATGAATACAAATGAACTTCCTCCTTCTGTGTTTTGTGTGAAACATGCTTTTAGCAGTTGGTGTGTTCCGGGGTGTGTATGTGAGGGGGGTTGTCGTTAGGAGCCACAAAGCCGGCTCGGGAATAATGTTCGCTGGTCCTCTCGAGGCGGAAGCACACGCTGTCCTCCCTTCCTTCATCTGAGGAGCGATGAAATGCAAAAGGCTTTGCTTGGGTCTCTCTGTCTCTCTCTCTCAGAGCTTAGCATACCTTGCTTGTAGAAGGAGTAGTGAGCCCAGGTGACCAGAAAGATTTTGCTGTTTTTATTTTGCCTTACCAGAGCCAAATAACAGTGTCCCATCCAAATAGTAGTTGTCAAGATCTCTCATTGTCACAGGTGGGGTAAAAACAGGTGATGTGTATTGGACATATAACACTGCATGATGGTCTTAAGGCCTCACAGAGTCCCCAGCACCCTCTGGATTACTTCTGTAGTGTTCTTTACAGTAATATATTCCTCTATGACTTCTGTAGTGTGTTGACTGGAAGAGAGAAGATGCAACCATTGCAGATTGGATTTTTCAAGGCACATTGAAAATCCCTGGGGTTTCTGAAGGTGTTAATCTGTGTATTGTACATTTTAGTCAGAGGCTGGTGAAGATACAAACTGGACTTAACTGAAGCCAAACATGGATTTGTACATTTAAATCATTTTTTTTTTTTGCACTAGCCCAATGATTCTGACCTTGTAGGAGCTAGGTGTTTTGGAGACAGGTGTGGACTTCTTTCTAGAGATATAAATGCATGCCTATTATCCTATTGAGCCCTGCAGGCCTTTCCCAGGTTCCCATCCCTTAAATGCCAGCAGGACTTGTGAAACAGTCCATGGGATATGAAAGTAATCAACATATTCATGTTATTCCTGCTGTCACCTCACCAGTGTCAGCTCTCATCCCATAGGCAGAGCAAGGGGTGGCACTATGTGCCACAGCCAATGGGGTTCTGGGGCAGGAATAGGTGTGGCTTTGTTTCCTGCGAGCGGGGGTGTGAATTAAAAGTGCTCTTGAGAATTCACCAACTGACAATGAAGAAAAGAATTGAAAAATTTTTTTTTAGTTAGTTTGGGATAGGAATGGGGAGAGAATGGGGGCAGGTCCTGCCTAATTTTTATGAATTTACCTATTTTTCCTTAGTTGTAATAATAGTATGCATTTTTGCATTTATTTATTTTGCTCAAAATTGTTACAAATATTCTAAGTTTGTTATGGTTTTCATAATCATAATATTTACCAGCTCTATAGCATTTTCTCAGAGATTTACCATCATTCACTTAAGCACCCAGCCATTGGTCTTTTATCCCCTAGAGTTTTATGACTTTAGATAATTTTGAAATATATATCTTTGTGCATTGTTTTTTAAAACCTCCTTCTAAGAATTATTTCTTAAGAGTAAATTCTCAAGAATGGAATTGTAGAGCCTAATGATAAGAGCTTGTACTTATTTTTTTAAAGATCTCCCCCAAACTTGCCGTTTCTGTGTTTATACCAAATGACAGGTTTTGGCTTGCTTTGCTTTGCTACTCTTTATAAACACAAAAAACAAAACAAAATTCTCTGTCCCTGCATTACTTTTATAATTTTATCAGATTTTATAAAACTAAAGTATAAAATAGAAATATTTGAGAAACGCTGACATACAATCCTCTGTGGCCTTCAGCTTTTGGGATGAGATTCATTTGCTTTGCAGAAGGAACCATATGATCAATTCTCTTCGTAGTGAGTTCTGGGGAATAAAACCTTGTATTTTACAACACTCTGGAACTGCGGGAATGCTTGTTTGTTCCTGCTCTCCTCTGTGCAGTGCTGGCTGAGATACTAGACTCGGCTGTCACCCAGTAGGCTTTGTTCCTTGAGTCGGGCCTGACTGTTCCCTATTTTTTCTTCCCCATTTCAGGTTGCAGAAATGTCGGAGTGTGTGGGCTCAGCGCTGATCCAGAAGGGCTTCCAGGATGCTGCAAATAAGTTCGTTGGCATCTTTGCCCAGAACAGACCTGAGGTATTAACCACTAGCCCCCGACTGTACGTGGTTTGCAGAGTTCTCAGATATAAGAGCCTGTTAGAGTTCACCCCCACCTCTGCTCCAGACCCGATTTTGTAGTCTGATTTCTGCTGAGAATATGGCTTTGTGTTACACCTTTGAAAGTTACACATGTGAAACCCCAAACCAGGGCCTCCTTAGCCTTTAGGTGGGGAAAAAAAAAAAAAATCACTTTTCTTTTTTTGATTATTGATTTTTGTTTTTTTAAAACTGGGTCCCCAAACAAAAACAAGCAAAGAAGTTATTAGAACAAATAACTAACAAAGAAGTCTTCTCACTTGAAGGGCCACTTCTGCGATTAGAAACATAGCATTAATAAATTACAGAGAAACTTGGTTACATTTTTGTCAGTAGCAAAGTCTCATCTTTTCTTTCTGGAAAGTGTGAGCTTTTCCTTTGATCAAGTTACAAAGTTTAAAATAATTCTGGCAGCAGGGAAGGTGCCTCACCTGGAGCCGCCCTTAATTTAGACACGCAGTCTGCTGTTTGGCTATCTAGGCCCCTGCGTGGGGCTTCTTAAACCATTGAATTAAAGTGAATTTCAGTGAGAGGCTCTTTTGGAGTCCTGCTTACAGTGTTAGTGAACAAATTGATGGCATAGCTGGCTTGGGAAAGTTCAAGCACCAGGCTTGGAGAAATTGCATTGGTTCTTAGATCTGCTTGTGTCCAAAAGGCATGTTGATTCTGTGCTACTGACTATTTTATAAATTAGCCTGGTTTTTTAGAATTTTATGTAGTGCCAAGGGAAAAACAACATTTTGCACAGCTGGACCAGAACTAGGCTCATGAAATTGAGTTTCCTTCATTTTAGGGGAAACTCGTTCAGATAAACACATCCAAAATTTTTGTTTTAGTGGGATTTTATAATGAATCTGTAACTAGGATGCATATTCCTTACTTCACAGAGTAGGTTCCTTCCTATATTTATCAGTTAGTTCAATAAATGTTTATTGAGCACCTACTGTATGCCAGGCATTGTGAGGCACCAAAGCAAGACAGTGACTTGAATCCTCTTCGTAAGGTACCACGTAAGGGAAGACAGGCCCATAAGCTGATGCATTCTCTGTAACGTGGTAGGTGTGGACACAGGGCAAAAGGATTATGGAAGCTCAGTCAAGGAGGACTTCCTGGAGGTGGCATCTAAGTGGAATCTTGAAGGATATGAGGTTGTCAGGAACAACCTCATGTTTGCATCTAGCAACATGTCTGTGTTGGGGAATGAAGCATTTTACTAGGGTAAAGCTTGGAGTGGCAGGATAAAGGGCAGGGAAGAGAGGACCACGTGTGCCACCTGTACCCTACTAAGGAGCTTGGACCTGACCTCCACTTTGGTAATTTGAAATCGGTTCCAGGAAAAAAAAAAGGAGGGAAATCAGTTCCAGGCCAAGTGAATATGGGTGGATTGTGCTCCCTTCCCACAGCAGCTGTGCCTTTATCTGTGCCCTGTCAGAGTTCTGCAGGAGATTTGTGAACTGCAGCTGAAGATAATGGGTGCCACTGAGGATTATAGTTGAAAGGGTGAGCTTGCCCCATTTGCCTTGTAGGCAGATCCGTTACTACGTGGCTGATGAGTTTAGAGATAAGATGACCAGTTATGATATCACTTCTTTCCTTCATCACTTTTCTGGGGAGATTTTGCCAGAACAATTTTCCTGTTAGATCAGTGTGTCTCTCCTTCCCTTATTCCCAGGCCCTCCTGCACACTGCTGCCAGATCGAGCTTCCTCAGACCCTGCAGTCACTGTTTAGCTGAGAAACCCTCCGTGGCTGTGCGTGGCTTGAGGAATAGAGCCAGGCTTCTCTAGCCACAGGCTTGCTCCCTCCCACCTCTCCAGCCTTGCCATTCCCTGCTGGAACCTCCATGCCAGCCAGATTGCTCCCTCACCTCCTCCCTGCTTTCAGTTGTGCAGTCATTGCTGTGCAAGTCTCCTTGCCTTTCTCTCCATCTGTCCAAATTGTGCTTCTCCTGCAAGGGGCAATCTCAGTTACGTCCCCCACAAAGGTGGCCCATCGTGGGCTCTCTCGTCTCTGAGTCAGTCACTCTCTTGTATTGTTAATTATGTTTTCGCATATTTGCCTCAATTCTTCAGGCAAATTGCACTTTCCATTTAAGAAGGGAGCAAGTGTTTGTCCTCATTATGAATCCCTCCTGGTGCCGGGCACATAGTAATAGATACACAAATGTTAAGTTTGCTGCATCCAGTGTCTCCACCTTAGAGGATCGTTCTCCTTGGAGTGGTTCCGTGATGACATCTTGTTCTCTCTCCCCGACTTTCCTCTTTGTTTAGTGGGTCATCATTGAACAGGGATGCTTTGCGTATTCAATGGTGATTGTCCCCCTCTATGATACCCTGGGAACCGAAGCAATCACCTACATAGTCAACAAAGGTATGTCCGCGTCTTTGGGGGGATGTTGGCCTAGTTATTGGTTAGATTCAATGACTTTATGTTTGCTTATATTTGATTTGATGGGGATTTTATATTTAAATGCACATCTACCTTTCTATTCAAAGAATGTAGTCCTTAAAATAACCTGGTGTCAGATCTCCTACAGTCAAGCTTTTAATATCCAGGAGCTTCTTCCTCATTGTATCTCTTCATTTCCAGCTGATCTCTTGCTGGTTTTTGTTGACAAGCCAGATAAGGCCAACCTCTTATTAGAAGGCGTCGAAAATAAGTTAACCCCAGGCCTTAAAATCATAGTTCTCATGGACTCCTATGGCATTGATCTGTTGGAACGAGGCAAGAAGTGTGGGGTGGAGATCATCAGCATGAAGGCCATGGAGGTGAGTCATTCTGCCCTGCCCACCTCTCCGGGCGGTTTCCCTGAGGTCATTTTGGCTCAAATGTGGTATCCCGTGTGACTATGCAATCCCAGCTGTGGCCCGTTGTCTCAGCAACCCGTAAAAGATATAGAGCAGAAATTCCTGTCTCATGACTGGGAAGAGGAATTCTACATGCATGCCCAGTGTTAATCCATCTCATCGTGCAGGAAGTGCTCTCATAGAGTGAGTGGCAGCGCCACATTTATTGTGGAGCACTGACAAGCCACGCCAATAAATGCTGGAGATGTGATTTTCATATTCAGGGGGAGATTTAAGTTTGTTCGTCCTCTTTAGGCTTTGATGGCTTCTACTTACTGATTCCTCTGTAAAATGGAGCCGGATAGAGAAATCAGCCTCATTATTCTTTTGCCCAGGTTGCTTTTGTAGAGTCCTGGTGAATTTCCGGCATGGATGTTTGATTTGGTTTATTTTCATATTAAATCTCTTAAGAGTCACGTTAATCACCACTTTGAAGTTAAAAACCATTCTAGGAAACTGAGTGTGGTCCGTATTTAAATGGGTTGTGTGACATCAGATCATCTAAGAAGCTGATTCCCTCAGTTGGACGTGGATTAGAATTCAATCCAAAGGAGCTGGCAAGAGGAGGCTCTTTTTTTTACACATCATAGTAATAGGAAGTCATAGGTATTTCGAGTAAGTCATTCTCTTTCTGAAAATGTTGTAAATGTTTTCCTGGAACTGTTATAAATAGGTTTTGTGTGTGTGTGTGTGTGTGTGTGAGGAAAACTGGCTGTGAGCTAACATCTGTTGCCAATCCTCCTCTTTTTGCTGAGGAAGATTAGCTCTGAGCTAACATCTGTGCCCATCTTCCTCCACTTTGTATATGGGACACCACCACAGCATGGCTTGATGAGCGGTGGGTAGGTCCGCACCTGGGATCAAAACCTGTGAACTTCTGGCCACCAAAGCAGAGCACGCAATCCCAACCACTATGCCACCGGGCTGGCCCCTAAATAGGCTTTTAAAACTTATTCATAGTTCTCCTTCTACAAAGAATTTGAGGCTACAAGTAAGGATCTATAAAACTTTTCCTGGGAAACTTAGTACTCATAAGGAAACTGTCACTTGTTCTAATAGGGCCTCTGCCTCATACACACACACACACACACACACACACACACACACACAGAGGCACACGAGGCAGCATAGAACATGAGTCCATAAGAGCTAATGGGTGTGCAGTTTTGTTAAATTGAGTTTTTAGCTAGCTTTTTAAAATCTAGCATTTTCCCACTTTTGTTTTTTTTTTTTTTGTCTGTAATCCCCTTTCACAGTAACGTAATCTCTTTTTCCTGCATTTTTCCTTCTTCTCCCTACCTGCCCCTCAACACAGACACACACACGGGAAGTTTTTGGTCTTTATTGACTGCTATATGATAAAGAAGTAATTTTAAGGTTAAAAAATTCAGATGAGTAAGTGACTGAAGATTGTAATATAAAGTTTTTATTAAAATCTTTATTTATAAAAGACATTGTTTTATACTTATCTGTTTAATACAATTCATGTTTGGTTTTTTAAAATTTTATGAACAACAGGTTAAATTTTTAAAAAATGAATTTTGAATTAGCTTTATGGTTGGTCATGTGATCAAGTTTTTATTAATGTATATTTTTATAGGAACAAGATTGGAAACATTAGTATTTGGAATTTTGGGATTTTTTTCAATATTTTATTAATGATGATTCTTAAACATGCAAACCAGTTGAGAGAATTGTACAGTAGACCACGATATATCCATTGAGTCTACAATTAACATTTTATTTTATTTTTTAATTTTTTGTTTATTGCAGTAACATTGAACAATTAACATTTTAATATATTTACTTGATCACCTGTTAATCCATCGCTCATCAATCTATCCTTTTTTAATGCATTTTCAGTAGTTTGCAGATTTTATCACCCCTAAATACGTGAGCATGTTAATTATTAACTAGAATTCAGTTTTTCTTCTGTTTAGGGATCTTCTTTTTTTGCCTAAAGATGGAAACTTGTTTATTTTTGTGTTTGCTGTGTACTTTATTCTAAATGATAACATAAGACAGGTTTCAGGCTGTAAAACTTTCTCGGCAAATAGTGTACTCATTTGGATAATGTTTGTTTCCAATAAATTAAAAGCCGAATTGCATACAATATTGCTTTATTTTATTTAACATCAACTTTTGAAGCTCTCAAGAAGTTATGTAAGAATTTTGAACAGATCAGTAAAAATTTGGACCGGATAAAGATTGTTTTGGAAAAACAAATGGTAGAATTATTATTGCTCTAGCTCTTGGTTGACCTCGATTTGGACATCAGTGTACCTGTTTTTAATCAGTGGTCTGTTATATATATATAATTTAAAATGTGATTAAGATTAAAAACTGTTTAAAACTGTGAGCTGGGCAGAAATTCACGCAGCCCTGAGCACACCCGTTTAATTTCCCTTTAATTCTGGGCCTGCTCACTGTATATGCTCCCTCAAGCTGTTCAATTTTAATAGGAAAAGAATAGAAATAGCTCATTAAAAAAAAATTAATAGATATTAAAGTGGCCACCAAGACTGCCTTGTGCCGTAAACTGAGCAACATCAAAATGAACCGTTGGTGGGCACTGAGAGCCAGCCATTGGGAATTGCAGCACCTCAGAAATGTCGTTCTTGAGCTTCGTGTCCATTCAAGAGTGGTCTTAGGGGCCGGCCCGGTGGTGCAAGCGGTTAAGTGCACACATTCCGCTGTGGCGGCCAGGGGTTCGCCGGTTCGGATCCCGGGTGCGCACTGACGCACCACTTGTCAAGCCATGCTGTGGCGGCGTCCCATGTAAAGTGAAGGACGATGGGCATGGATGTTAGCTCCCGGCTCATCTTCCTCACAAAAAAAAAAAAAAAAGAGTGGTCTTAGATCCTCCAGCCTGGCCTGTTTTATAACTGGTGATTGCCAAATCCTTTCTCCGCTCCATGTGGGGAGTACAGATATTGGATCTTCTCCAGAATGGCTAGCATTTAAATCTGGCAGAGATCGATTTTTCTCTTCAGGTCAAAGATGTCAGTTGTGCAGAATTGGGTGATCATTATGTCGTGCTGTGCTCTCTTTTTGGGAGGGTGCAGAGCATCTGCAGTTCTTGGATTATGGTTAAGAGCTGGGCTTTGTTAAAGGCCAGAATAGGAAGTGGGAGTGAGGACAAGAAATACGTTGTAGAAGACTTTGATTCCTGTCTTTTTTTTTTTTTTTAATTTTT